CTGTACTACAGTAACACCCCATGTTGTATCATAACTAGCGCCCATGTAACACAGTAACCCCCACCCTCCCCTTATGTTGTAACCCTAGCAGGGATTGTTACCCGCACAAAGAACCCCCTTGTCCTGACCCCCAATCAACAAGTAGCGTTGAAAGGTTACCTCTAACCTCCCCGGCCCCCAGCAGACGTCAAGCCCTGCCACGACACGTGCATGGTGAGCACGTCTAAGCGCACGTGTACCCGCGTGTGTGTGTGTGAGTGCTGTGCGGACGCGTGACTGCACTGAGTAACCTTTCACTCAGACCATCAAATTTCGCAGCCAGCCGTAACGAAACATCGCTTAGGATGGGACACAAATATCAACATTTTCCCTAAGGGCTTTTTTTTTACATTTTTTTTTCTGTTTCCCACCAGTGCATGTTACTATCCCAGACTATGTTTAGATTTCCCTCGCAACCTTTTAGCTATCTTAATATCAGTGGCTTACACGCTGACTTATGGAAATTACATATAGTATTGATTACATCTTTTAGGCATCACTTTGGCACCCCCGCCTCCACCCTGAAACAAATCTAACCCCCCCCCCCCCGAACTATATCATATATAACCAGGAATTGGTCATGGGAAGGGTTCAAATATTTACCATATATATATATATATATATATATATATATATATATATATATATATATATATATATATATATATATATATATATATATATATATATATATATATATATATATATATATATATATATATATACATATATATATATACATATATATATATATATATATATATATATATATATATATATATATATATATATATATATATATATATATATATATACTATCATACGTGTCCACACCCCCCCTGGAAATTTAAGTCCGCTCCGCCCTGTCCACAAGAGTTTATGGTGCATCCCCCCCCCCCCCCTTTTTTTTTTACTTTAGGTTAATGTTTCCGCTTTCTTTTACTAAAATTTATTCTCCTTCTGTTAATGTGTCCATTATTATTAATTTTTCCGCTTTTGTTAGGCCTCCTCGGGCAGATAAGGCTCGATAGCTGGGGGACAGCAACTCTTCTAGGAGAGACAACTCCAAAATCAAACAACTGCTGCCTTGTAGCTTGTTCTTGTATGGACAAAGGCTATAGAAGCAAATCCAAAAAGAAAAGCAGGTTGCAATCGGAGTCAATGGCCTATATGACGCATAACCAGTTGACACGTATAGGCCTACTTAATTGTGTTGGAGGGTATCCCTTCCAACACAAAAATAAGAACGAAGAAGAAGTTAGGCCTACTTAATGTGCCCCCCCCCCCGCCCCCTTCTGTTAATTTGCCCCCCTTCTGTTAATATTCCCCCGTCTGTTACATGCGTACACCCTACAGTGCCTACAGGTTGTAAGCCATTTCAACTCTGACCGCAACCCTCCCCAACCCCTTCAATTAAAAAAGTGACTCACCTTTAAGTGCCGTGGGTTTGGCTAGACCATTGTGACACATATTCTGTTTTTCACTAAGTTAGACCTAGAATCTATAACAGAACGTTCACTAGTAAACACGCCCGTTTTCGGCAAAGAAAAAAAAACAACGATTGGTTTGTAATTAATTTCCCCGTTATTTCTAACAACTTTTCCTTTTACTTATTTGGTTAATGACGTTAAGAATTTATTTATTTTAAAAATCTACTAACTCTGCAATTTATAAGTCGACTTACCATACTTCTCACTTGTATAGGTAAAGCAGAGTTGATCTGATTTTCAGATTGCGTCTAAAAGACATCTGATAAGTATCAGTAGGCAGTTGAACTGCACACCTTCATTTGCTTCATCGGCTCTCGCATGAGCACCTATTGTAAACAATAGCCAATACATAAAGCAAAAGTTCATCTGTTGATTGAATGTTACAGCAAAAAGTGGCAGCGAACGAAGACCGCAGACAATGGCAACAGTCAATGACAACAGTTAATGACAACAGTCAATGACAGCAGACAATGACAACAACATTGACAACAGACAATGATGTCCAGACCCTTCCCGGGGACGAATTTTCAATTTGCACCCCCCCCCCTCAAACTTTCGATTTACACCCCCCCCCCCTCAAGTTTGTCTCTATATATTTTGCTATTTTTTTGCCTTGGTGTCACCCCCCTAAATGGTGTCACCCAGTGCGGTCCGCACCCCCCGCCCCCCCCCCCCCCCCCCACTCGCTACGCCTCTGGTCACCACAGACAAAACCAGACAGCACACAAAACTTTGACGTCACTAGATCGGTATTCCCCCACCCTCTCGAAAGAAATGGAATTTATGCAGAGAATTTAAAAAAATATACTTGTACCAGTGTCCACCCCCTGAAAATATTAAGCCCCCCCCCCTATTTTTTCCGGAGAAAAAAGTCTGAAAGAAACACTGATTGTGGTAGTGGTAGAGATACAAGGTGTTTTTTTTGTTTAAGTATACACCGGAAGTGAGAAATCAAGCCATCAATCGAAGCCAGCAGTGGCGCTGGTCTGCTCACCCACAGCACGCGTGAAGGTACCAACACGTCACGTGCACCGTCTTCCACGTGACGTCATCTTTTCCTTTTAAACATCCATTAACCGTTTACACGCCATCACCAAAGTGAGACTACCCCTCCTCATCATCATGCTAACCCTTAATACGTGACTTCATGACATTTATTCATGAACTCTATAATAAGCCGCGTTTACACTTGCGACATGTATACTATTCATGTGCGACATATATAGTATACATGTCAAGACACAAAAAAAAACACGCTGCATTAAATAAGTAGCGCCCCCCCCCCCCCCCCCACCCAACAATAATGTTCTGATAAAATTAACTAATGACGACGTTGTTTCTTTTTTTCTACACGCGTACAGTATACATGTCGCGAGTGTAAACTCGGTGTAACAAATTTATTCTTATTTGTAATGATATATTTACATAATTAATTAACACGTGAAAAACAAACGTGTTTATTGGACAGTAATTGTCGCGTACATGATACGATCGGGTGTAACAGTGTAATTTACCTCCTCCCTCCTCACTCTAACCCCCAACCCCCACCCCCCCCCCCCCCCCCTCCCCCACCCCTTCCAACCTGTAAATCATCCCCAACAACGAGCGTCGTGTTATCCCCGCCGCATCGCCGCGATAAGCGACACGCCCCCGGTGTGTCAGCACGCCCGCTATTGTGTGTACCGCGGCGCGCATGTGTTGTGAGACGCGTCTGGCGGTAGCCGCCAATTTCCGGTGATGTGGAGTGCTATCTATCAAACCGTTTGCAGCGGCGGCCTTCTCGCCTCCCTTGGGATGCGTTCAACCTCGGCAACGATGCAAACCGTCCTGCTGTGTTTTAATGGAAATGTGTTGGGGGATTATTTTTTTTTTTAATTTAGGAGAGAAAGAAGGAAGAGGGGAATAGGCTTAATTATCAAGTGTATTTTGTTCATGTCTAAGTTAATGTATGGCGTGAAGCATAAATGAATAATCCAAAATTGTGTTGTTTTTTTTTTAATTTAATTATTTGAAAGTAAATTTGCTATTTTTAAAATACTTTTTAAAATGGTTGTTCTAGTAAATTTGACCAAATTTATTAATATTTTTATACCGGTATTTGATTTTTAAAGCTTTCATTTCGTGTGCTGTCTTTTAGTTATGGTTCAGTACGTTAGCAAGCTAGAGTGTATCCTGCCCTTTTAAGTGTTAAGCAATGTTAGGTTATACTGGACCCACAAGCCCAGAAGGGGTTTGCAGTTGACCCAACATGGTTGTAAACTTCTGAAGCATTGCCAGTGTCCCTATCCCCAATTTAAAGTCTTTGATACATAACCTGGTGCTAAGACTAGGGTAGAATAGATTAAATGAGGTTTTACTTGGAAAAACTGTTTTAGTGTATGAGATGAATATTGACGTTTACTCATGAATATAAATGCTTGCAAAAACTAACCCGAAAGCCAACTCTAGTTATAAGTAGTGAATGAAGAGTTTTTGCGTAACATATTATCGCCTCTGTAATGATTGTGAATTTTACAAACCATTAAATCCATTACTTCATTAATAAACAATAGCTTATACCGAATTTTACAATGTGTTTATATAAGGCTTATGCCTCCGCATATATATATATATATATATATATATATATATATATATATATATATATATATATATATATATATACCAATGATCTTTGAGATTGCAAATGTTCATATATATATATAGGTTATATACATATTAAAATGCTGATCATAACACTTGCATCGTTTCTTTTACCAGAACACACCCTCGCCCTCTGTGCCGTATGAGAAATGAGGTCACATCCACCAGACGAACGTACCTAGCACCAAAGTGGAACAGCACCGATCGCCGGCTCCAAAAAAACTCGGCTGTTTTCAAGAAACCATTTAGAACCTACTGTTTGCCTGCTGTTAATGAGAAGCAAAATCAACCCCATTACAGAATCAATGTAATATTTAGAGACTAGATCTAGACCCTTTGATTTAATCTTCCATCAATTAATCAAAATACGGTTCAGAAATCGGTGTGCTCCTGTGTTATGTAAATATGTCAAAAAGTCGGACTACTCTTTAATGTTCTGGATGTCAGTTATAGTGATCTTTTGGAGGAAAAATTGAAGTTTGTTAATATAAGGTTATAGTGTAGGTGTGGTTACACAGACAAGGCAATGGTACCTAGGCGGGTGTTGACGTCTGTAGTTCGTTTGGTCGCCAATGATGGACGCTGGCATGAAGGCTTGGTGCGGAAATGGCAACAACGTCATGTCGTAGTCTGGACCTCGCTGTGTGTTGGGTAGGCTTGACCTCAGCCTGCGGGGTTGCCTTGACCTCTGTCGATCAGGTAGCCTTGACTTCGACCTGCCGGGGTAGCCTTGACCTCAGCCTGCCGGGTAGCCTTGACCTCAGCCTGCCGGGTAGCCTTGATCTCAGCCTGCCGGGTAGCATTGACCTCTGCCGATCAGGTAGCCTTGACCTTTGCCGGTCGGGTAGCCTTGACCTCGTCCGATCAGGTAGCCTTGACCCCTGCCTGTCGAGTAGCTTTGACCTCCAGCCTGCCGTAACGCATTGACCTCAGTCTACCTTGCAACCTTGATCCCAGTCGGCAAGGTAGCCTTGACCCTTCATCACGTGGTCCCGGGGAAGTATGAGCTCCCTCAAGTCCACGACCCTCAGCGTCATGAGACCGCCCAAGCCCCCTTGCTGGCGGGACTTCATCGCGCCCACGCCCAAAAGCATCAACTCCGACGGCTTCGACATCACGGACCTAATGGGGCGCGCGCTCGGCGCCAAGTCTCCGACCACGGAGTTTCTCGACGTGTCTCGGAGCTCCACCTCACTCCCCGGCAACAAACCCAGCCGTCTGGCCCGACGACCGCGGGCCAGAATCCACCGGACGAGAAGCGAACACGTCATCCACGCCGAGGACCTCCCCGAGAGCGCCTTCACCGGAACCCTCGCGGACAACGACCCCAAAGGACTGCGAACCCGTATGCCAGACGGTCGTCTGTACGTCGAAGAAAACAACAGACGGTGCCAGAACTGGTTAGCCAGCATCGAAGCGGCGGAACCGCTCGACACCGTCGACTACACCAGCGAAGACTCTCCGCAATCTTATTCCATTTCCTCCGGTCTCCAAAGCGAGACCCGTCGTGATTCGGGAAACTCCGGACGTTTAAAAAACGTGGATTACGCACTCATTCCTATACACGAATCCGACCAGGGCGTCGAGGTCGAAATTCCGGAAGAGACTTTTGTCTGGGATATTTCCCAAGACGCGCGTCCGCACTCCCCGAGCTCTGGAGAGGAGATGTGCAGTGCGTGTAAGAAGATCACCCCACAGGTCGACAACAAGAAAAGCCCCTGGCCGTCAAGACACCACTCTTGTACGCACACAGATAACCCACCACGCAGACAGTCGCCGGAGAAACCCGAGAGCGCCCAGGGTGAAGGTCGATCCACGCACCGCACCAGCGAGTTCAGAAGACACTCCACCAGCAAAAAAATTCATTCGCGACTCTGTGATCCGGAGAAAGAGGCACGGGTGTCGCACCCGGCGCAGGAACCCGTCGTCAAATATTCCAGTCATTCTGAACAATCCGGAGGGGATGCCTCGTCGAGTAAAGGTCAAGGTCAAACGACTCATATCGTCCAGGAAAGAAGCAACTCAAACAGAAAGGGCACCAGGTCCTCTTCACGACACCACGAGACTTTAAACGAATACTGTGAGACGGATATCAACGTTATAGATGAAACTACTTAACTAGCACCCCGCTCTTTTAGTTGTTTTTTTTTTTCTTAGACATTGTCACTCTAGTTTTTGGTTTCCATACAGTGACTGACAACCTATCATTGTCACTCCAGTTTCGGTTTCCATACAGTGACTGACAACCTATCATTGTCACTCTAGTTTCGGTTTCCATTCACAGTGATTGAGTATCTCACAACCTATCCACATACTCTTTTAATATTCCACCAGCAGTTTCCACATTGGTTTTTATATGTTCTGGTATGATGTTGTTTTGTCCTTATCATCTCCGGTCCTACAAAAAGGTAACACCAACACAACACACACTCGTACAGCCATTCAGAGGCGTAGCGAGGGGGAGGGGGTGCGGACCGCACCGGGTAACACCATTTAGGGGGGGTGTGACATCGAGGCAAAAAAGAACAAAATATATATAGAGAAAAATGATAATTCCACTTAATTAAGCGATTAATTCTAGTGTTAAATCGTCTTTTAAGAGGTGCACATCAAAAGTCTGAGGAGGGGGTTGTTTCAAATCGAAAATTTATAGTTTGTCCACGGACGGGAAGGGTCGCTACGCCTCTGAGGGGTGACACCATTAAGTGCCGCACCGGGTGACACCCGACCTCGCTACGCCACTGCAGCCAGTCACCAAGTTTAGTTCATGCCTTGTCAGGAAAACATTGACATTTTATTCGAGAAGAATCCACGGATTGTATAGGTGTAATCAAATACATGTAAGTGGCTGATAGCATACATCCGTAGTGTTTAAGTATACAGTCGGCCTAGCATTGAATTGGCCACCTAATATCTTCATAGTGTGGCCACTTTGACATGCCGAACTATCTTTTCTTGGCCACTTTACTTCCTCTACCTTGGGAAATTGCCGACCCCACCCCCTCCATAAAAAAAAAGCGGCCATCACGCCCAATTACTTTTTTGTTCTACATTTCGAGCTTTCACAAGAAGAATCCATTAAAATTTACACTTACCTCCAAATATTATCCCTAGCCTAATTGATCCTCCACATAGATATATTAACAAGCACCCAGTGTTGATACTAGCTTAGGGGTCATCCATAAATGACGTCACACTCGTAGGGGGGAGGGGGGGTCCGTAATTTTGTGACGATGTGTGATGAGGGGGAGGGGGGGGGGGGTCAGATGTTGCGACGTCACATTTTTGCATTATAAAAAAGCAATGTTAGAAAACGAATTTTAGACGTTATTTCGTATTTTAGGTAACTGTTTAAATAAATTGTAATAGTTTGGACAAAATTTTAGAAAAATATCGATGTTTTAAAAAAATTCAACTGCAATTTTGAGGGGGGTTGTAGGTTGAGGTGTGACGTCATTTTAGGGGGGGGGGTCTGGGTTTTTGTGACGACGTGTGACGGAGGGGAGGGGGGAGGTAAAAATTGTCAAAAAAAGCGTGACGTCATTTATGGATGACCCCTTATATGAAAACGTTGTTTTAAATTATAGTATAGAAATTCCATTATGTTTGTGTTATTTTAATTTATAATTGAATTTAACTCGTCATCAGCAGTTTGTTTATCATTGTTTTACGTACACCATTTTTTCAAGATATCTTCCCTTGACGTAGATACGAACAGCTAGAAATTAGATGGATTGTGTCCCTTGAAACTATCATTACTAAGTTAATATGTCAATATAGTGTATACTTTTATGAATATGATAAGAAAAAAATAAAAATAATTAAAATATACTTCTCTGTAAATTTATACAAGTTGATGAAATATTTTTTTGTATTAAACATTAAACTTTTAACAGTAAGACTAGTTTAAAGTAATTTCTGCTTGAGAATTGTGATCACCTTTAATTAGAACATCAGTTGTGTTGTATGATAAAAACATTTAGTAATCTAGGGGCAAAGTGCATATGTGCTTAATGAAAATTGAGTGTAATTATTAAATTCGACACTAGGAAGTAGTAAGATTTTCTTTTTAACGATTTTGATGACGTGTAAGTGTAATTAAAATGTATTTTATTGAGTGATAATGTGTAAGTAAAATTAGAGTCCATTTTATAGAGTGCTGGTGTGTAATTGTAAATAGAAAGTATCTAATAGAGTGATTATGTGTAAATGTAATTAGGGTTTATTTTATAAAGTGATGATGTGTAAATGTAATTAAAATATCTTTGATAGAGTGCTGGTGTGTAAGTGTGAACATGTATTGTTGTTTATGTTTCATTTTAGTGTACGTAATGTGTTCTGTGTAAGTGTATTTAGTTTTGTTCAGTAAACTCGGCTCCACCATTGTAGATGTCTGCTAAACTGGCTGTATGTGTAAACCTGGATATATGTGTACACCTGGCTACATGTGTACACCTGTATGTATGTGTACACCTGGATATTTGTGTACACTTGGATGTATGTGTAGACCTGTATGTATGTGTACAAATGTATGCATGTGTACACCTGTATGTATGTGTACACCTGTGTGTATGTGTAAACCTGGATGTATGTGTACAGCTGGATGCATGTGTACACCTGGATGTATGTGTACACCTGTATGTATGTGTACACCTGTGTGTATGTGTACAGCTGGATGTATGTGTACACATGTATGTTTGTGTACACCTGTATGTATGTGTACACCTGTATGTATGTGTACATATGTGTGTATGTGTACACCTGGATGTATGTGTACACCTGTATGTATGTGTACACCTGTATGCTTGTGTACACCTGTATGTGTGTGTACACCTGTATGTATGTGTACACCTGGCTGTACACCTGTATGTATGTGTACATCTGCATGTTTACACCTGTATGTATGTGTACATCTGGCTGTATATGTACAGCTGGATATATGTGTACACCTGGATGTATCTGTACACCTGGATGTATGTGTACACCTGAATTTATATGTACATCTGGCTGTATCTGTACACCTATCTGTACACATCGCAGCATCTGTACAGCTGAATCTGTTTACATGAGTGTTATCCAAATTCACGGTTTATAAATTAAGGCGCCATCTCTTGATATAAATTCAAGCAAAATTTTAAACCATATAATTTATTTAAAAATCTATGATACTATATTGCTGTAATTTTCACACATAACAAATAATTAATATTAAGCAACAAGTTTTTGAATTGAAAATTTTTAGTCAAGCTATAGTTCTAGCTTAGTGGTTGCATTAAAAGTAGACGTGATTGAACAAATTACCATGTACCGCAATTAAAAATAATTAACTTTGAACATTCTTCCCTTCTAAAATTATCCTTCATTGAACATACGTCTTTGTAGTCTCAAACAGTTGTGATATAATGGTACCGTATTGGAATATTTTCATAATAAAGTAAGCGGATTTATAGATATTGGCCATGGAAGTTTGATATTCCCCCCACCCACCCTTTTTCATAGCACAAACAGTGATCGTTGTATCAAGGCTTTGTATTGTATATTGCGTGAACGCAATGTTATAATTGTATGATACAACTAGTGAATAAGATATATTATGTTTTAGTCTATAAGACATTCTTTTGGGGAGAATTTTTTTTTTTTTTTTTTTTTTTTTGGTGTTAAACTATAATGCATGTTCGATGAGTACGAAGAATATAATTTTTTTTTTTGCGAGAAAATAAAATATGAAATAACGTTTTGTAAAGATGAAAGTTTACAAGAATTTTAATTTATTGTAATAAAGAATTAGCGGAAAAGTGTGTTTATAGGTGTGGTTATCATGTGTTGAAAGTTTCAATTCAGATTGGTTAAGTTTGCTTTGGTAACTTTTTTTGGGGTTCGTATTGCTTTATGGGGTAAATTTTGGGTATATATCTATGTTGTGTAAGTTTGTGTAAGGAAAATGGGGTAGGTTTTGGGGTATATATGTTGTGTAATTTGTTCTGAGTAAAATTGGGTGAGTTTCTCAAGGTATGTTGTCGTGGTATATATGCTATGTACGTACGTGGCAGGGTAAGTTTGTGTAAGTTATACAAGGTCTTACGTTTTACATCTCTTGTGTGCCCATTCTTGTGTGTATTTTTAGACATGCTATTTGTGTCACAGTAACGTCAGTGCCGGCCCCAGCAATTAATATTTGGTTCTATTGACGTTATGTCCGAGATTATGTTTACATATTTTTAAAACTTTATATATGATTGATATGAAATAAATCGCCACATTTTAAAATTGAGTTTTTTTTTCTCTCTATGTTTTGTATTTGTTTGTTTTTTAAAGCTGGGCAACTCGACCCAATCAACTCAGCCTTAAAGTCATTAAGATAAATATCCATGAGCATAACCAATAGGGCAATAACCTGCTGGGGTTGACCAATAGGGCAATGACCTGCTGAGGTTGACCAATAAGGCGATGACCTGCTGAGGTTGACCAATAAGGCGATGACCTGCTGAGGTTGACCAATAGGGCGATGACCTGCTGAGGTTGACCAATAGGGCAATGACCTGCTGAGGTTGACCTACAGGGCAATGACCTGCTGAGGTTGACCTACAGGGCAATGACCTGCTGATGTTGACCTACAGGGCAATGACCTGCTGAGGTTGACCTACAGGGCAATGACCTGCTGAGGTTGACCTACAACCTGCTGAAAGATGACAATTGTCTCCTGGAGGATGATCAGTATAGCAATGACCTGTGGGGGACGGCCTATAGGGCTGTGATCTGCTTGCTGATGACCAATAAGGCAACTAATTATTCGGCTATGACCTACTGTGCAGCCACCATATATAGGCTATGACCTACTCTATTATCAACATATATAGGCTATGAACTAATCTGTGATGACCAACTCACCAACGACTTGATTAATACCTGGTACACATTGAAAGAAAACGACTAAATTTCGTCACGTTTATAGGGTTAAATTATCAAAGTTATAAAATATACTAGCTCTATTTTAACAACATATGTCCTGTCTCGACCATAATTCTATTCCAAAGTTTCAAAGCCATGTTGTTGTATTGGAAGTAAGTGTTTAAATTCGCAATATTGTTTTTCAAATCGACAGTTACACACAAAAAAACAACAACATAAGTTAAGCATTTAAAGAGTAATTCGTTATCTGGCTGTAGTCCAGCCGAAGTCTTGTTTTCAAATGACTCAGTTGATCCTAAAGAATCATATCTATGTCCTATAGGACAGATAATCATTTACATGACGATAACAAACAAAACTATAACATATATATATATATATATATACATATATATATATATATATATATATATATATATATATATATATATATATATATATATATATATATATATATGTATAATATAGATTTATACACATTATATATATATATG